CTGGTGAGGAAATTTTTTTCCTAGTGAAATTATGGGTGTCACTCGATGTACATTTAAAGCAATTTTGTTACTGTGAAACTGGTGTAATAATAGAAGTCTGAGAGCCACTCCTTTAAAGTTAGTTTCACCTATCTTGACTTCTTTAAGTAAAGCCACGTTCTTTCTCATTTGTGTAGCACCATTGTTATAGCATTCATAAGACTGTGCTATAATTATTTCCTTATGTGTCTATTTACCCCATAATGTCTAGCCCAGTAACTAGAATAAGTGAGCAATAAATTCTTAGGAATTAATGAATGAAGTAAATGAAAGATAATATTAAGAAAATAATGGTAGCTTACTTGAATCCCCAAAATGTCAAATAATTCATTAAACTCAGGACTCATCAGTCCTTGTTTGATTCAAACTCAAAATTCAAGCTAACTGCCATTGAGCTGATTCTGACACATAGTGACCACATAGGACAGAGTAGAATTGTCCCTGTGGATTTCCGAGGCTGTAACTGTTTAAAGGGGTAGAAAGCCTCATGTTTCTTCAGCAGGGCAGATGGTGGTTTTGAACAGCTGATCTTGTAGTCCATGGTCCAATGTGTATCCACTATGCCACCAGGGATCCAAGAACTTAATTGTTGGTAGGTGCCTTGAGCCAGTTCTGAGCCATAGTGACCCGATGTACAGCAGAACGAAACACTGCCCAGCCCTGAGCCATCCTTACAATTGTTCTTATGTTTGAGACCGTTGTTACAGCCATTGTGTCAATCCATCTTGTTAAGGGCTTCCTCTTTTTCACTGTTCCTCTACTTTACCAAGCATAAGAATTTAATAGACAGCCCAAAAAGAGTCTAGGCTTTGAAATTGTAAGCAGTAAGGTATTAATTTCTGCTTGTTTGATGCAAATTGGGATGTAGGCAAATTCTCCAAGGAAATGAGAAACATGTTAGTTAAATAAACACCACTCAACAAAAATATTTTTCTTGGTACTTTGGTTTTTCGGCCTGGCTTGGGGTGATTTTGGGTACTGATTCAGAAAATTGCCTTGGATAGACCACATCAGCTCAACTTTCTTAGATATTGTGTTCCAGTATATTTTCAGCTATTCAATTATACTATTTTATTAATTTTTCATCCTACTTTTAAATAGAAGAATTCAGACTCACAAATAACAGAATAATACCAAAAAGGTAAGAAATATTTGAAAAAGAATTGTGTATTAAGTAACTTCTAAGGGAAGCTATATATGGACCCATGGTGACTAGTTGGTTACATATTGAGCTGTCAATGCAAAGGTCAGTGGTTCAAATACACCAGTCACTCTGCAACCTTTAAAAGAAATGAAACACAAAGTGGTAGTTCTTCTCTGTTGTATAACAGAGTCGCTATCAGTTAGAGTCAATTAGATCACAGAGGGTTTTTCTTATTTGGTAGGGGAGGCTGTGCAATATATAGAGTCCAGAAGTTGGATATTGCAAAGCCAGAATACAGCTTGAGAAGACTGAAAAATAAAAAGGAAAATTGAAAAGGCACATATATGGAAGTGTGAGGGCAATTTAGAGTGTTGAAAATATAAGATTTCATAGAATTTTTCATAAATTTTCATATCAGCTCCTCATTTTACCTCTCCCTTACCCGCCTTCCCTCCCTTATGAACCCTTGATAAATTATAGATTATTTTCATATCTTACATCGTCATCTGTTGCCCTTATTTTAATCACCATTAGTACTCCTTCCTAGGCCTGGTAACCATTAATGGCTTTTCTTTTTTATGTATTTGCCTTTTCTTGTTTTTTTTTATATAAGTGAGGTCATATAAAGTTTGTCCTTTTTCCCCAAAACCATTTTATTAAGACCTAATCCAGACATACTATTCCATAGTTCAGTCGTAGCATGCAGTGTTGTACACTTGCTACCAAAATCAATTTCAAAACATTTTCTTCCTTCTTGAACACCTTGTTATCAGCTCCCCCTGATCCCTCCCTCCCCCACTATAACCCCCAGATGTTGTCTCCACAGAGTCACCTGTCCTGGGTTTCATTTACCGAAAAACAGAAAAACACATAACAGAGTCAAGAAGGCCACCAAACATGACACAATACAACAGAGATAAACACCAACATGAAACAAAAAACCACAGAACAAATTACCACCCACCCCCCCTCCAAGCCCAAAGTATATCAGAAGGGAGATTAAGTGACAAGGTTTTAACCTTTCAAGGCAGATTTATCATTTTACCTACTATAGTCGTCTCTCCAATACTCTGTCTCATAACCCGGCTATTCCCATCCCTCCATTATGGTCAGAGGGAAATCACTGGAGGCTTATTCCTTGTGTAGATCCTGCCAATGTATTTTGGGTTTTTATTGTCATCCATAGCCTTCTGCACACTAGAACCTCACAATTTAAGCTCTGATACTATTCCCTCCTTCAGATTTGGATTATATAATTTACAATCCTTGGATTGCAGATGGTGGTGTGCTTCTTCCATGTGGGCTTAGTTGACATATCACTCAGTTGACTGTTGGTTTGAAAACAAGCCTTTAAGACCCCAGATGCTATTCTGATAGCCAGATACCATTTAATTTTTCACTACACTTTGCTATAGCACCCATATCTTCTGTATTTCTTTCATGAGGGCAAGTATTGAGCATGGTCATGTAGTAAGAACTAATTGTCTTTATATTGGAACTCGGATTAAGAGTAAGCCCCAAATCCATTACTGAATCTATATGTTCATCTTAGAGACATCCTTGCTAATTTATGGTAGATAATCTTATCAATCTTCTGCTTAGAGCATTCTGTTTATAGTGTCATTGATTAGCCCATGGTACTAATTTAAAACACTATTCCGACAGGGAGATTGAACAAATGTAAGCTAACTATATATCACAATACTTGGATTATTCACTTGTACAGAAAAATCCTTACCTGGCTAGACAAATGTTAGTGGTTAGGGACAACTTACAATAATATTCACTGACAATGTCCACCACAGGCCTACCAGAAGAATACATATCTTAATACAGCAAATAGGGCATTGAAGTAATAAATAAATGTCTGCCTTTAGACAGTTCAATACTCTTAGTATAGCTGTCTTCTGCTTCTTCACACACCATATGTAATTTCAGTCTTAAGTCCTCAGGTTAAAGGTGTGTTTGAAGTAGAGTCTAGTTCACCTCATTGGGTTTCTACATCTCAGCCTTCTTGTGGCCTTTGGAGCGTGTTGTGGGCCTTGAAGATCCAGGGTTAAGTGTCCCAGTCTTTTATGACACATGGCCTGGGTTCCCAGGGGGCATACAAAAAAACGCCAATGTGGCTCGTTGGAGCATATGACCAGGCATACTCCCCCTTAGGGTCCGTAAAAGTATTGTTAGATATTTTCCCCCACTAGGAAGTTGGTCGTGTCTTTTTCTATCAACAGACGTGCACTTGTCTTCCCCAGACGTGCATGCTCCCTTTCTTCCCTCCTGACTTGACTTTCCCATCAGTAGCCCTCTTCACTGATAGGACTGTCTGCCCATCCGGGGCACCTCATCCTGCCACTGCATGGCAGCCACTAAGTTGTCATCCTCCTTCCCCCTCTCTCAAAATCTGATCCCAGATGGCGTGAGGACCCCGCCCCCAGAGTGACCTTCAAGTTACACATGTATACTCTGGCCTTATACATATTGAGGGTGGTCTTTTCTTTATTACACTTTACTTATATTTTTATCTTTGTATTATTATTATTTTCTCCTTGCCATGTTGTTTTGTTTTTGTTGGGTTTCCCAATTTGTAAAACACACGAGTGGATCTATAGAGACAATAACTGATGCCAGGGTTTATCAGGATTGTGGGGGGCGGGGATGGGGGGGTGGGGAGTGTGAGGGGATTTGGGGGGCAAACAATAAATGCAGGAGAAGGAAGGGAGCACTAGAACTGACTGTGATAATATATACAACTCTCTCTTTTTTAATAATCATTTTATTAGGGGCTCATACAACTCATCACAATCTGTACATACGTCATCTGTGTCCAGCAGTTTGGTACATATGCTGACTTCATCATTCTTACGACACCCACTTTCCACTTGAGCCCCTGGTTTCAGTTCATTTCCCCCCTCCCTCCCCGCTACTCCCTCCCCCCGAACCCCCAATAATTTA